GGTATTCAGTGGTATTATATGGGAATAATCAGAGTTTGACTTCTAACTTTTTTCCAGCCAGCAGGAACCGGAAGCACTGTAGAGAGAACATGCTCAGGCCTGATGCAATGACGCACTTTGTATCCCTCTTGAACATCCCCTCTGGTTAATGAGCAAGGTAATTTTGATAATCTCTTGAACTAGGTCCATTCCTCTGAGCCTTGTCGGGAGTTGTTGCTATGACTGAGCGTGCCCAAGTGGAGAAAAGTAGATGGAAAAAATGGATGTTCCTCAAGGGTCTCCTCCAAAACAAATAAACTTTAACTATGAATTAAATGATTTTTATATTGTGTTCATATTAAGTTAGTGACAGTTACTATGCATACTACTTATTATAGTAGCACCCTAGGGATGAACCAATGGAGCCTCAGTATGCAAGGCACTGTTCAAACACAAATATGCCCTCTCCTTAAATTCTGTCAAAGGACTGAAATTCCCCCTAAGATTGTTTTAGGAACATTGAAAAGTTTCATTTGAATAATGTCAACTTATAATATTCTAATAGAATATTATCATTATCATAAAAGTTGAAATGAGAAAATCAAAATGGCTGGGTTTACACTTTTTCTCTTGAAAGTGAAATCACATAAACATTCCAGAGATAGGTTTCAGTTTCAGCAAAACTGCATTTTCATGCAGAATTGCACCTCTGAGATTTTTTTGACCAGCTCTAATTTTCACTCTTGGACTGATGTGTATTACTAATGATGCTGTTACCATTGCAGCAGATTTTCAATATAACAGCCACCATACAATATTATCTCCAGTAAAGAATTTTCAAAGATTTGCAGGCACCTAAAGCTGTGATTTTCAAAAGTGCTCAAGGCACTAATATGTGAATCCTTAGGTGCCTACATATATTTGAAAATCTGTCCCTTTGATTCAGAAACCATTACAATCAAATTGAAATAATGAAAAGACTAATTTTGTGGTGACACATTCTAAATGTAACTCAGCCTGAAAATAATACAAGTAAATCCTCAGCTCGTACTACTCATTGGTGATTTTAGTGTGGTTGTGGTTGTCTTAAAGAGCATGATTATCCTTTCAGCTTCTTCAGAACTCAGTTTCTTTTACCATAATTCACAATGCAAGAGTCACTCTCATGCACACAGAAGCATATTAAATGTATGAACAAAACATGCTGTATTTGCAGAACAGTGATTTTTCATCAGGGAAAATATGTTGCTGGAAAAAAAATAAAACAGTTGGTCCAATTAAGCCATCAGGTAAAAAACATTAAAGGACATACATCTATTTATGTTATAGTTTACATTATTTCTTAAGGACAGAGAGACTCCATCTACCTGGGCCATAACATTAAATATTCCATGGAGTTGTTAAGGTTCATGTTGAAATATGTAGTCAATGGAGAATGAAAGAAGGAATGATGTTGTAAGGAATCAAATCATCATGTACAATATCAAAGGATACTGACATGCAAAGGGGGAGGGAGTTGGGAGGACTGGGTGAAAGAAAATGAGTGTTATCTTTGAAGTCATCATTCAGAGGAGTTTGCAGATTTAGAAAAAAGCAGGAAGAAATTTGTTCAAGAGATTGGGCTATGAAAGTTTTAAAACCAGGAATATGACAGGTATCTTTCACCTGTCGAATATAGTATAGTATACAGCACTCCTCACTCTTGGCTGCTTTCTTCTCTGATCGACTCTAAAAAATGGAGATTTGTTTGCATTAAAGTCCCAGATCAGAACACATCTCAACTTTGCAAAGCTCAGAGTTGGAGCCAAACTATGTAGCTGACCTGCATCTATATAATGAAAATCTACTTAGGTAGGTCACATCAATTCTCCTGTGACAAGGAATTGATAACTTTGAGCATAGAGTCAGATAAGTCTGCAAACTTCTCTCTTTCAGTAGTGCTCTAGCTGGGCAGAAAATCGTTACCTTTAGCAACAGCAGGAGCAGTGGCACCCATTTGGGTTATGTAAATATATTCAATCTGCAAATGAAAAATGGCTGGATACTAAAATGTTAACCTCAGCATGAGTCAAAATATATGTGAAGAGATGGAAACTTATCAGAAGCTGATAGAAATTAAATAAAATTATATTCATTTGGGACTGTTTTTCACATGCTCTTTACTTTATCTTCACATTTTCATTTTTGCATGGCTCATTGATTTTCCTTCAGCCCTAATAAATAATGATTGTGCAACAGTGAATATGTACTACTCCAAAATGAGATCTACAAGGCCAGCATCACTCATAATCTTGTGATGAATTGTTCACTTCATCCCAGAGTGCCATGGGTTAATGGAGGCCTCCTGGGAGCAGTGGAGGTGAGTCCTTCAAGCAGCCTAGCAAGGCTGCATGGGAAGCAGCCAATTGGTGGGAGTATGCACAGAGTAGCCAATAAATCCCTAGTGGAATAACATAAAAGTATCTGCAAGGCCAAAGACTGTTGCTGTGGGGAGCTGAAGACTGAGGACTTTATTCTTAGTGGGCTGCTGGAAAGGTAGCACCTTGGACAGAGCAGTTGCTGGTAAGGTCTGGACTCTGGAGGAACAAGACCTTTAGGAAGCCTTTAAGCTGTCTGTTAGGGCTTACTGTTTGATTACCCTGAGAGGAGGGTGAAGAAAAAGATGTGGCTTCAGAGAAGTGGCCCAGGGAATTGACACAAAATTGAGCAAAGTCCTGGAGGCTGATATCTACAGAGTTCCTGGGTTGTGGCTCAGAGTAGTGGTCAGGCCTGGGTCCATGCAATTTGCACCTGGGGAAGTGGCTGTAGAACTGAGATATTTCACCATCAGAAAGGGGGAAACAGATGGTGACATAGCTGGAAGGCCAAATAATGAAGAGGCCACTCTGATACTTGAACTGAAGTGAGTCTGCAGTCAGAGACAATGACAGGAGAGATGCCATTTGGAGACGGTGCACCAGCTGGTAGGTCTAATCCCTGTAATGACCAGAAGGAGGAATCACTGTGGTGAGTGGACTCCATTAAAATCTATACACTTTGCATTTGTGGGAAAGAATCTATCATGTCATCTCAGTATGCAGGGATTTAAAAGCATAGGCCAGAGTTTTCAAGCATGAATGCCAAATGAATGTGCCAAAATCCAGATTCTAAAATATTGAAATAAGTAATAGGAATTATGCCTATGTGGGTGCCAAAATCCAGATTTTGGCATCCACGTAGGCATAATTCCTATTACTTATTTCAATATTTTAGAATATATTGTTTATATGAATAGTTATTACCAGTGTGACGTTACTGCAGTAGAATGAAGTTGTTGACTATAGGTCAAATTCTGCACTTGCATGGTGATCTTAGTCTATTGCTTCTTAACCAAATTATTCTTTAAACTATTACTTCACCGATTTCTTCATACCACCTTCTTGTCTATATCTTCTTGCCACTGTCTTAGACTATGTGGTCTCTGCATAGTGGCTAGAGGTCACCAAATTAAAATAATAGATAGCAGGTTTAAAACAAACAATGGAAATATTTCTTCAGACAATGCACAGTCAACCTGGGGAACTCCTTGCCAGAGGATGTTGTAAAGGTGATGGCTTTAACAGGGTTAAAAAAGAGCTAGATAAATTCATGGAAGATAGGTCCATCAATGGCTATTAGCCAGGATGAGTAGGAATGGTGTCCCTAGCCTTTCTTTGTCAGAAGCTAGGAATGGGTGTGATCACTTGATGATTACTTGTTCTGTTCATTCCTTCTGGGGGCACCTATCATTGGCCACTGTCAGAAGACAGGGTGCTGAGCTAGATGGACCTTTGGTTTGACCCAGTATGGACATTCTTATATTTTTATGTTCTTATGTAATAAAGGGACAGATTTTCAGAGGTGCTGAGCTCTCATTGACATCATTAGGAAGCCATGATGCGGCTTTTGGGAACTGGAAACTATTGTGAGAAAAACCCATGGATTTTAGAACAGCTGCTGCAGCCCCCAATCCTCTTGCTCCTGAGGGCAACATTCAAATAAACTCTGTGTGGTGAACACCAGTATTATTAGCCCAGTCTTGTGCTTCTTCCGAGTTTTAACACAAGATGGTTAGATCACAGTAAAACTTAGGAAACTGAGCACTTTGACAACCAATGAAAATGAGCATAAAATCCATATTTACAAAACATTGTGCATTGAAATAGACAACTTAAATCACCTGGAGACATCGATCACTTCTGAACAGTGGTCACTATTAAATCTTTACCACATGTATGTTAATTACATGGAAAAAGCAACAATAGAGCAAATAAAGGTATTATCTAGATTTTTTATTAAGCTCATCGATTTGGACAAAGCATCAGAGGTATTTGGTGAGACCAAAGTATTTGGTGAGACCAACTTCACAAATTTAGGCCTTTTTTTCTGTTCGTGAATTGTTACTAAACAGATTATTAGGAGCCTAAATTTAATTTTCAAGAGTGACAAACATTCAAGAGCCTAAGTTGCAATGATTTTAACTAAATATGCATTATTAAGGGACTTAAATTTAAATGTAGTTTGGTTACTGCAGACAGGAACCATGTAAGATTTTTTCAAAAATAGTCATCCCTCTAACTCCCAATCAATGGGAAATGGAAGGGAGTTGGGTGCCTAGTCACTTCTGAAAATCCTACTAGCTGCTGCTTTGCATTTTCAGGTACCTACATACATCAAAAATCTGGGTCTTAAGTGTCTAAGTTGATTTTGGAAATGGGATATAGGTTTCTAAATCACTTGGATACTTTTGAGATTTTTATGTTAAATGACCAGCCCAGGTCATACAGAAAATCAGTGTCAGGTCAGGAAGTTGTGCTTGGGTCTCCTGAGCAGGCTAGAACTCTCATTTTTTACTAGTTTTCCTCTCAGTGGCAGATCTGGATCAAAATTGCATTTCAATATCCTTTCCTTTAGACCTTGCATGGCATTATCTACTTAAATCAAGTCTTTAACTTAAGTGATTTTATCTATAAATACATAAATAAATAAAACCAACTGCTTACTGTTGCAAGTCTTGTTGTATTTAGTATTCTCTTGCGGATACCCCATCAGCCGGCACTGGAACCTGTGCTGCCAGAATTCCTGAAACCAAGGGTTTCGGAGATTGGTTTCTGGCCGAAGCTGCAGGTAATAGTCATCAAACCATTTCACATCAGGAGACTGGAGCTTGATCGTTATTCCGCCAACAGCTTCCCGCTGATACCCGTCTGTCACATCATACCTATCTGCCCAGCCATCACTGTAGAGAGAAATAAAAGAGAAAAATGCCCTATGAATATACTGTTTCATGCACCTTTCTAAAGAACACGTGTTCAACTGCAAATAGCAATAGAAGCAGATAGATACACACTCATACCAAAGTTGGAATTTGGTGAAATAGCAATAATACTTTTATTCAGCTTTCAGCGTTTTCTAGTTTCTTATAGCAAGCATTCTGTAGTAATCAGCACCTTCTATTTCTGTAGAGTGTTCTTAATCTTGTATCCCACAGAATCCAGACCACTGCCCTAATCCTAAAATTGACTGAGTGTATATGCACCTTTGCACTGCACTAAGCCCCAGTAACTTCAGAGGTATGGTACTTGTTTGCAATACATCTGGGGCTATATCTACATTGGAATGGCTTCACTTCCTATCGATGTAAATCAATTAGAGTTCAAGATGTTTCACAGCATTAGAGAAAGAGGATATTCTAGCCAAAAGAAAATTTAGCCAAAGTTTCAAGGACTCTTTAACAGCATTGCCCAAAACCAGAAAGGAAGCTGGCTTTTAGAATCATGGTTAAAAACAACCCATCATGGTTAAACTGAGATGCCAATGGCAAACTGCCAAATGATAATGGCCATCAAGTGGTCCACTAGCAATTCTCCACTTGTTTCACTTTAAATCCTCCTATAACTTTGACTAAGAACTCCAAGCAGAGCTTGCAGAAATACAGGGGAAAAGTCATGAACATAACATTTCAGTGCAATTCTCCACGCACAAGTTTATTTTTCTTTCATAGAAATTCAAAATGTTGACAAATTTTGCATAGAGAAATTAAAATTCTGAAAGTCTCATCTGGCTCCATCTCCAACTTATACATTGCTAGGTATACTCTTGCCAGCTCCTGCTGTTTTATCAGAATTACCATATTTGGTATTGTTCTTAGGGCACCAGCTTCTGGAGTTATGGGATTATGGAAAAATCTTAATTTTCACAGGGCAAAATACTGAAATTCTGGCCTTCATAGTCACAAAAAACCTTGAAAATGTGCATTCTGAAAGCTCAAAAACTACAGGGAGAATTGAAATAACCCAATATTGGTTATTTTTTAAAACAATGGTTTTTTTAAGATCTCGTGATTTGTTTAAAAAAATTCTTGATTTTTTTAATCCAGGGGATTGAGAAAACTGTAACCAACATAAGCAACGTTCTGTCTTGTTACCATCAACCCTCTCCATTATATTCTGAACTCAGCTGTTGTCCCTATTTAAAATCTTGTTATGCATTTCATAACATTCAGGAAGACTGCTATAGCCGCAGGTCCCCTATTTAATTCAGTGGTGTTTTGTGCCAGCACAGAAGTCTGCCTGTCCTCCATACAATACAGGATTAGGCCCATAGATTGTAAGGTCTATAATCATCATATGTGCAAACACAGAACAAAAGATCATGCCTGCTTGAAAGAATGAACAGTCTGATGAAGACAAAGGGAATGTAGGAGGAAAGAAAGTGCTTCAGATTCAAAATAAATATTAAAGGGTAAAGTGAGTTATTGACTGCGAGAAAGAATGAGATACATTTATGAAGGAAAAGAGGTGAGCAGTGATTCTTAGCTGATATCACAGAGAGATGTGTAGCATGTTGCTTTGAATACTTATCCTAAGTTAAGTTAATGTTCCTGAATATGTTAATAGGAATCAATTCTGGCAAAAAGTCAACCTCCCCCCAGAAGGGTATTTATTAGTCCAAGGGCTGGTATCATTTACATGCCTATCTTGGTATTATAGGAAAAAAAGCATTTTAAAAAGTTAATCATAATAATTATCAAAATAGATTTAGTATATTCAAAAGGTTCATCTCTGTTTAGCGAGATTTCATGTTTCCATCCTGTATGACACAATATTATGAAACTGAACAATAAATATTGGCTGTCCTATAGGATTTTTTAAATCGTCTCAGTAGAATTAGATCCATATTATGGAATTGTTGAGGATCATTTAAAAAACCTCAAAGCTATGCCTTTAGAAAGGATATTATTTCAATAATAAATGCTGTGGGTTGTTAAAGTAATTAGTGACAAATTACTATTTTATTTATTTCACTCCTAGTAAAATCTTTTCCTTAGGGGATACTAATGATTAAAGTTTGGGAATATTAAAAATAGGAATTCTAAGCCACATGCTCCTTAGTTTTTCATGAACTGACTCCTGGTTTCAGTACTGTTGGAAATAGACTAACTTAGCTTCTTTGTGCATCAGAGAACTAGGAATAAGAACTATAGATATTTAACTAGAATTTTGCAAGCTCTTATGGTTCTTAGGATGTCTAAAAGGCATTGAAGGAGGAAAGTGAAACAGGAAAATATGCATGCAAAGAAATGCAGAAATAATAATAAATAACCTCACTAGTGCACTGGAAAGGATGTTCTGGTCAATACAGAGAATGACTATGAAGACTCTGACTCAGGAATGGTACAGAAGACAGAAGAAGAAGGCATCCAGCACAAAGAAGAGGTTAGGTGTATATGCTAGAAATCATGAAATGTTGGTTGAATTAAGAGACCAAACAGGGAGTTCATCTTTTTAGTAGATAAATCTCCATGTACTTTCCTCGCCTTGAGCACCAACTTCACAGTTCCTATTGGCCAGAAACTGTAGCCAGTGGGAGCTGTGGGGATGGTGCCTGCAGCAAGCAATACACAGAGATCCTCCCCGTGTCCTCTGCATAGGAGCTGCTGCCAGAGGGATGTACTTGTCCTTTTCGGCAACCACGCAAGATAAGCACCAACCTGCTCCTGCACCTCAACTCTTTGCCTCAACCTAAGCAAGCACCCAGCACCAAACTCCCTCCCAAAGCCTGACTCCTCACCCTCTTCTGCACCTCAGCCACTTTCCCCAGTCTAGTGACTCACTCT